GTTCAGGGACAAGGTTATAAAGGCATGACCCAGGAAAGAGGCAGTGGGTATTTTTTAAAGACACTCTGTGAAACACTGATTTTTAATAAATCAGCCAAGGTTAACATGCAAAAATCAATTTTATCTTTATGTACAGGACAAAATAGGAAAATAAAAGTTTTAAAATTCTACTTACTACAGCTCCAAAAACCCAAATACATAGGAACACATTTAACAGAAGATGTAGAAGACTGCTACACCAAAAACAAAAACAAACAAAAAAAACAAAACAAAAAAACGTTGAGAAACCAAATGCAACCTAAATAAATTAGCAGGTATACTATGATACCATGTTCATGAATTCAAAGAGACCATACTGATAAGCACTGGCATTCTCCCCAAATTGAGCTATAGATTATAAACACAATTCCTAATTTCCAGAAGGTTTTTTTTTTTTGGTAAAATTTGATAGTGTAAGAGACATGCAAATGACCCTACCTTACTTCAAACCTTACTAAAAAGACAGTACGGTACTGATGTAAGGATTAAAAAATTGATCAACGCAACAGAAGAGGGCACGAAAATAGACATGCACTTAAAACAGTCATTTGATTTTTGACTAAAACACCAAAGTGATCCAACGAGGAAAGGAAAATCTTTTGCACAAATGGTACCGCTGGAATACTGGAGATCCATAAAGAAAAAAAAAAAATCACCTCCACTATCCACAAAAATGAATTTGAAATGGATAGTGGACTTAAACATAAAACTAAATGCATTAAGCTTTTAAAGGAAAACACAGGAAACAATCATAATGACTTTGGAGAAAGGCAAATAAGGCAAAGGGTTTTTGTTATTTTTTTGTTTTTTTTTAATTTAAGTCAGAGTTTCACTCTACTGCCCAGGCCGGAGTGCAGTTGCATGATCTCGGCTCAGTACAACCTCCACCTCCTGGGTTCAAGTGATTCTCCTGCCTCAGCCTCCCAAGTAGCTAGCATTACAGGCACGCACCACCTCTCCCAGTTAACTTTTGTATTTTTAGTAGAGACAGGGTTTCACCATGTTGGCCAGGCTGGACTCAAACTCCTGACCTCAAGTGATCCACCTGCCTCGGCCTCCGAAAGTGTTAGGATTACAGGTGTGAGCCACCACGCCCGGCCAGTTTCTTAGATTACAAAAGCAATATATACCAAACAATGATCAATTAGATTTCACCAGAATTAAAATCCTCTACCCATCAAAAGGCACCATGAAGAAAATAGATAAGCCACAGAATAGGAGCAGATACTCACAAAACATACCTGACAAAAGACTAGCATAGAGAATATGTAGAGAACTTCCACAACTCAATAACAAGCACCCAATAAAAAACAGAGTAGTCAAAATATGTGCACACTTTACAAAAAATATGCAAATGGCCAATAAGCACATGAAAAAAGTACTCAAACAACTGGATATCCACATGAAAAAATATGAATCTACACATACTTTACATACAAAAAAGTAACTAAAAATGGATCGCAGACCTAAAAGTAAAATGCAAAACATAAAAATCCTAGACGATAACACAGGAGAAAATCTAGATGACCCTGAGTCTGGCAATTACTTTTTAGATATAACACCACAGGCATCATCCATAAAAGAAATTTATATGTTGGAGTTCTTTAAAAGTAAACACACCTGCTTTGCAAAAGACACTTAAAAGCCACAGGCTTGGAAAAAATATTTGCAAAAGATATACCTGATATAATGGACTGTTACCCAAAATATACAAAGAATTCTTAGAACTCAGTAAGAAAACAACCTGAATTAAAAATGGGCCAAACACCTTAACAGATGTTTCACCAAAGATATATAGATGGCAAATAAGCACATGAAAAGATGTTCCACGTCTGATTTCATGAGGGAAATGCAAATTAAAACAATGAGATATCATTACACACCTATTAGAATGGCCAAAATCCAGAACACTGACAATACCAAATACTGGTATGAATGTGGAACTATAGGAACACTCAATTCGTTGCTGGTGGGAATGCAAAATGATATAGCCACTCTGGAAGACAGTTTGACAGTTTCTTACAAAATAATACATATTCTAATTCAATAGAGCAATTGTAATCCTTGGTGTTTACCCAAAGGAGTTAAAAATATATTTCCAAACGGTGCGGTGGCTGATGCCTGTAGTCCCAGCACTTCGGGAGGCCCAGGTGGGTGGATCACGAGGTCAGGAGTTCAAGACCAGCCTGGCCAACATGGTGAAACCCCATCTCTACTAAAAATACAAAAATTAGCCAGGTGTGGTGGTGGGTGCCTGTAATCCCAGCTGCTCAGGAGGCTGAGGCAGGAGAATCGCTTGAGTCCGGGAGGCGAAGGTTGCAGTGAGCCAAGACCACACCATTGCATTCCAGCTTGGGTGACAGAGCAAGACTCCATCTCTCTATATATATTTCCACAAAAAAACTTGCATGCGAATGTTTAGGGCAACTGTAACCAAAAGTGGAAGCAACCAAGATGTTATTCAGTAGGTGAATGGATCTATAAACTGTGGTACATTCGGATAATGATTTGGTGAGAAAACAAATACATACTGCTAAGAGCCACTCTGAAAAGGCTATATATTGCATGACTGCAACTATATGCCATTCTGGAAAAGTCAAAACTATGTAGACAGTAAAAAATAAGTGATTGCCAGGAGTTGGGGGATGAATACTAACAGGCAGAGCACAGATTTCTGGGGTAGAGATGCTCCATTATAGCATCCATGTGATGCTATAATTAAGGATACATGTCATCATTCATTTGTCCAAACTCATGAAAGCGCAAGAGCAAGAATGAACACTAATATAAACTATGGCTCCTGGATGATAATGATGTGCCAAGGTAGGTTCATCATTGTATCAAATATACCACTCTGGTATGGTGGGGGACACTGATAATATGGGAGGCTATGGACATGTGGGGGCTGGTGGAAAAGAGCAAATCCCTATGCCTCCCTCTCAATTTGGCAAGGAACAGAAAACCGCTCTATAAAATAGATTTTTTTAAAAAACATGATCAGTCACCAGAACGGATAAAGTTAAAGAGAGTGGCGACAATAAATGTTGGTGAGCAAGACAAACTACTGGAATTCTCATATACTGCTGGTGGAAGTGTAACATGGTACAACTTTGGAAAAATGTTTGGCAGTTACTTATAAAAGTAAACACATATCTCTCTATGACCCAGCAATTCCACTGCTAGGTATCTGCACAAGGGAAATAAAAACGTATGTTTACAAAGACTTTTACAAGAATGTTCATAGTAGCTTTTTTCATAACAGCCCCAAACTGGAAATAGTCCAGCCATCTATCACCAACAGGAGAATGGACAAACTGTGGAACAGTCATACAATGAAATGCTACTTGGCAATGAAAACAAATGGACTACTGACACATGCAACAACAGACAAATCTCAAAATTATGCCAAGTTTAAGAAGCCTTCTATAAAGATTATATACTATATGATTACATTTCTATAAAATTCTAAAACAGGTAAAACTAATCTATGGTAGAAAAAAGTCCAAACAGTGGTTACCTCTAGGGGGAGCATGGAAAAAACTGGGAAGGAGCATGAGGGAAATCTGTGGGACAATGTTAATAATTTATACCTTGATAGGGATTTGGGTTACACAAGTGCATGCATGCATATGTTAAAACCAAGCTAATGTGCATTTAAGTTTTGTATATTACATGTAAACTGTACATCAAAAGGAAAAAACTATTTAATGATATCTATCCTGAAGTTTTTATGGGGAAGTGTACAAATGTCTACAATTTACTTCTAAATGTATCAAAAAGAAGATGGATTAATAGAGATGAATGGAGGGAAAGATGGACAGATATGTGATAAAGTATAAACGTTAATGATAGAATCTAAGTGATAGATACGACTTCATTTTAAAATTCAACTTGGATGAATATTTGAATATTGTCATAGTAAAATAATGGAAAAATACAAAATCAGCATTATGTGGTGACTAAGTACATCTCGGGCATATGTAGGTAAGGGAAGGGAGAGTAGTAAAGAAATCAGGGTTTAGATATTGGGCAAATTAGGTGGAAATGATACCACTATTAACAAAATAAAAAACCAAGGAGAAAAGCCAACGTTTTGTGTGGCCTGGGGAAAAGATAAATATGAGGAATTTCATTGTTGAAATGAAAACTAAAAAGCTAAGTGAAAATGTCTAGCAAGTATCTGGAGACAAGTAACTAAAACTTCTGATGCCAAGGTTAGCTAGATTTAGGAATAAACTACGTAGAAGTAACAGTGAAGTTTAAAGGTAGGGAAAAAACAGAAGGAAGTTAAAGAAAATCTTGGTGATTAGTGGTTGGAAAAAAAAATCAAAAATAGAGAAGCAGCTAGGAAAACCAAGAAAATGTTATAGCAAGAAAGTATAAGCTACAAACAATTCTCAACTATAATTCTCTTGAGAAATATGCCAAACTGAGGAGTAATAAAGAACCTCCAATGAAAAACTACTCCTTAGATGTTTAAGAAAACACAGCTGAAATTCAAGGCAGATAAGACTCCTAATCCCCACTCCCCCAAATCTTTAAAATTCAGTTGAAATTCTAAATATAAAAGACTGCAATAATTCATGCACTTGTGGAAAGAATTTAAGAAATAAAGAAAAATTTGATACCAAGTCCTGTTTTGCAAGAAAAACAGTTAAGAAAAGCAAAGACATCCATTTGAGAATCTTCTTCAGGGTAGGCATGTAGCTACAAACAAAACAAAACAAAACAAAACAAAATAGCAGCACACGTCAACTCAACCATCCACTTGTTGGTTATGTAGAAGATATTCTCAGTTTTCTGCTTTTAATTGCTCCTTTCCTTAGTCACCTCCAGCATTGTGTTCTCAAGTCAATTTTCATTTGGTTCCCCCTTCCCCAATAGGTCAACCAAAGACAGATATGCTCTAACAATATTTTTTAAGTCTCAGACCCCTCACCTAAATCTCAAAATCTACTTACCTTGAGGCAAATCACTGCCACTTGGATCACAGGAATAAGGTGGAGGTGGTAGTGGTGGTGGTGGTTGTAAGTTTGAAGCCTCTCCCACATCAAGAGGAGGAGGAGGAGGAGGAGGTGGTGGTGGTGGTGGTGGTGGTGGTGGTGGTGGTGGTGGTGGTGGTGGTGGTGGTGGTAGAGAGGCACCAGCATGAGGAATAGGAGCAGAATGGCATGGATAGGATGGTGAGGCAATCACTAACAAAGAAACAAAACATAAAGTAGCAATACACAACTATAACACCTTATGAACAGCAGGCTCATTTACTTTTCTTGTCTCCAGTATGGTCAAAGAACTCTTAATTCTTATGGTTTGGCTTTAAAAAAAAAAACTTGGACAGTGAATTGTCTACATTCTCTTAGACATACCAATGGAGAGCCTGTTCATAACAAGTCATTTTGATTTAAGAAAAGTATTGGAAATTAAAAGGGAAAAAACTGGAAGAGGCAGAGCTTTGACTATCAGACTTTGAACATTTAGCTAACAGGTACATAAATAAAACATAATTAAAGCAAAATTTTTACTTAGTTTAATACCCAATGCAAATTTAAGAATGTTTTCAGCAACCTGTCACTCTCAGTCAAATCACAAAATGCAGAAGCTAATAAGAGATGGACTAAGTGCACAGACTACAGATTTTAGCAATCCTTGAAAGTTTCTACTGGTAGCATCTCAGGAATATAGGGAACTTTAAATCATGAACGTTCCATTTCTAAGAAGGTACAGAATCTAAAAACAGGATAGATACAATATCTTATCCCTTTAGCTTTCTATACCTGTTACTATAGCTTAGAAATAATCAATATTTAAAAGTTTGTTTTTGACATAAGAAATTCAGATGTAATTATATTTAAATATTAATCCTCTGTGACGATAAAGGAAACAATGTGGTTACAACCTAGTAAAAACACATACCTGCATATATATATAACATGTAAATTTGTTAATTTTTACAAAAGATGAATAATACAAACCCTTCAATTTTAAACTGAATCATTTTAGCCAGCTGAAACCCGAGTACAAAATTTCATCATTTTGTTATCTGCATTATCATTTTAACCCTAAGAAACATAGAAAGTTTAGTCTTATCATTCTATAAATGTTTAAAGTCAGAGTTTCAGCACACTGAGTTTAGCATAGGAACAATTCACACAACCTGAATTTGTTACTCTGATATTTTAGCAAGACATAATCCACATTGTTTCCATTTAGTGACTAGTACTAACAATATACTCATCTATATCTTTCGTACATTTACAGGCTAACAGTAATAGATCTGTGTCTTCAGGTAATCTAAAATTTGATAAACAACTGTTTAGGAGTGATGCAATTATCTCTTGATTGTGGTGGTGGTTACATAACTCTATGCATTTGTCAAAGCTCACAGAACTGGGCACCAAAAAAATGAATTATTCTGTATCTAAATTAAACAGTAAATTTTTAAAGCTTGCTCAACTAGCTGTTTTGGAGTTTTGTCATATATTTAGAAATCTCTACTTTTACAGTTTGGGGAGAGGAATTTAATTTTCAGAATATCCCCAAATGTTCTAGACATACATTTTTTTAAAATAAAATGGCTCCCCCAACAAAGCTCTGCTCTTACTCCTTTTAAACTAGCACTGAAAATATATCATACCATTTAAAAAAAAAAAAAAAGCAAATGGAGAAAGGCAATTAGCTGAAGACAGTAGCATGTGATTATGATCACTGGATAAAAACCAACTACTAGACATAGAAGTGGCTAAATACATTCTCATGTGCCTGAAAGAATCAAGAGTAGACACAATTTGGAGGTTACTTTGTCTGAATTCACCTTCCTTATAAATGCACAGTATTACAATAAACCCTCTAAGTAAAAGCTTTTACAATTTCAAGTTTCTAAAGAGATGCATGAGCATCTCATCCTCAGACTTAAGAAGAGCTCCACAGGCTTAACAGATACACTTCAAGGAATGGCTCAAGAATTACAGAAACGTCTTCTAAAATATTAGTAGAAATCAATGTAATGCATTCAGAATGCTTATTTCCCACGTCCATGTAACTGTAGTCTGCTTCAGGACACTTCAGAAGAGAACATAACTATAATAAGATACTGCTGCTTCTCTAGAAATCACAGAGCAGGGCCAAGGCCAAGGTGTGGTGAGATGCTCCAGTGCAAAATTTAAGGGGCTACCAAAACTAATACAAAGAAAACTATTATGAATACAACATCAAAATTTTCAATAAAGACAGGATCTAACCCTGTACTTACATGACCCCAAGAGTATATGCCTTACTCAACTCACCTTAAACCTGATCCACAGATCCTGTCTTTATTTAAAATTGATACTTTGTTCTCAAATTTTTTTATAATCATCTTTATTTTTAAAAATGATGAATTCAAGTGTTATTATCTTGATTACTGTATTTTTTTTTTTTTTTTTTGGCATTCCATTAAATTTTGCATTCAGGGACAGTCACTGATCCCAGCCCTGGCAAAAGACTTGGGAACATTTACTGAAATCCAGAGTTTGAAGTTGACAGGATTTAATGCCTAAAAGGAGACTCATACTTAAAGGCAATCATCATATCTTGTTACCTTGCAGATTAGAAGTCACTTAAGGATGGAAGGGGCCTGCCAGAGAGACATATGAAGAACAAAGTGGGAAAAATCAGTTGTTTCATCAATAGGATTGACAAGAATGACAAAGAGCAACTAAAAAGCAGCCAGATCTAGTAAAGATCTATAGTTGAGATTCATTAAGTGACTGAGAGAACAAAAAGTAAATAAATGAAGGCAGTATGCATTTTTAGAAAAATCTGGCATTTAAATGGTAATCTTTCAATGATTCCACATAAATAAAACATTACAATGCTTGCTTCATCTGTCACTTGAATTTAAGCTCAGACAGCTGCTAAAAGCAGACAGCAAACACTTTCCCTTACAACTAGCATAAAGTAGTAAAAGTAGGGTCTACATTAACATTTCCAGTGAAAAATTTATATCATCATCAACATTTATTGTATGTTTTTGTTCCAGGCACTGTGCTAGGCACTTTTGTGTTTTTTTGAGAAAAAGTCTCACTTTTGCCCAAGCTGGAGTGTAATGACATGATCTCAGCTCACTGCAACCTCCAACTCCCGAGTTCAAGTGATTCTCCTGCCTCAGCCTCCAGAGTAGCTGGGATTATAGGCATGTGCCACCATGCCTGGCTAATGTTTGTATTTTTAGTAGAGATGGGGTTTCCCCATGTTGGCCAGGCTGGTCTCGAACTTCTAACCTTAGGTGACCCACCCACCTCGGCCTTCCAAAGTGCTGGGATTACAGGCATGAGCCACCACGCCCTGCCCTTTTATTTTTATTTTTTTTTTTGAGACGGAGTCTCGCTCTGTCGCCCAGGCTGGAGTGCAGTGGCGCAATCTCCACTCACTGCAAGCTCCGCCCCCCAGGTTCACGCCATTCTCCTGCCTCAGCCTCCCATGTAGCTGGGGCTACAGGTGCCTGCCACTGCGTCTGGCTAATTTTTTGTATTTTTTAGTAGAGACAGGGTTTCACAGTGTTAGCCAGGATGGTCTCGATCTCCTGACCTTGTGATCTGCCCGTCTCGGCCTCCCAAAGTGCTAGGATTACAGGCGTGAGCCACCACGCCCGGCCCACTTTATCTTTTTATGAATAAAACAGATATAGCAAACAAATCAAATACGTTGCTTAATGAGTTATTTTAATGTGGATACTACCCATGTCTAGAAATACTTTTCCCTCCTACCATAACCAACCGTTGTTTTGACTTTAATAGTAATCACTTCCTTGGGGTCTTTTCAGAGTTTTGTCACTCAAATGTGCATCCTTGAACAGTTTTTTAGTTTTATCCATTAAAAAAATTGGATATTTCTTGACTGTATTAATCTATTGGTCCTTCCTCCATCCATTTCCTGACAAGTTCTGCTTTAAAGAACCTGGGCCCTTTGATCTGACAAGCTTCCCATAGTCTGGATTTTGCAGATTACATACTCATGCTGCAATCCAACATGTTATTCTGTATTTCCTGTCAATAGGCAGCTAGATCTAGGAAACTGAATCAGATTCAGGACTGATTCTTCTGGGACATCTATAGCTAAAGTTTGACTGACTTTGCAACCTTAGTAGCTACTGATGTTTAATGTTCATCCATTTAATAGGGACTGCAAAATTATTGTCACTTTTTAATTGATTAGTTAGAATACTATTACAAAAAGATACTTACCCTCATCTATTTGTTTATTCAGTGGTATAGTTCATATAAGGAAGGCAGAATAAATGCTTGATTATTTCATGTTCCAGTTTTCAAGAAAATTTATTGATTTCCTATCATCCTCTTAAAGTAAGCAATTTTTAAAATATCACTAAGAACTTTTATATTCAACATACTTGGTATATTCCAATCTATGGCAATGATCATTGAGGCTCAAATTGTTCCATCTTTGGCCAGTGGGAATCTCTCTTTGTGATCGTTTCTGAGTCCTTTTGACATGATGCCTATACTCTGATAATGTTCCTTGCTATCTGGTATGACAGGATGTTCCAGGATCATCTTGAACATTTCCTGCCCAGACCTGGAGTCAGCCATTTCTCCACAGAGCCCAGTTTATTTTAAAAGTAATAAATGTTATTTTAAGACCACAAACTAGGTGCTAGGAATACTTATTGTTTTCAGGCCTTTCAGTGGACAGAGCAAGGAAACATTTACATATATTAAAAGATAAAATATCTCAAGTTCATACTGATACTTCTAATTCAAATTCAAGACTATAAAAGCTTTTAATTAGCCTCTATAACATCTGCATTACCTTTTTTCCCACACTAAGAATCCTGGTTCATTAGGACACAGGGAATAAAATTTGAATATCCCATAATTACTCATTTGCTTTAGCCCACATTACACAGTCTCAGAATAGCTTTCTGAGTATTAAAGAATCTGATGCGACTGACAGCATGAAAAAATGCTTTGCCCATAGTCTCTCAATTCTATCATTTAAAAAAATAACTACATCTATACCCTCCAAACATAAGGCTATTACATAGTACAGTCTCAACTTCTCAGCCCTCACGTGTCTTACTTCTACGGTAACTATGTATTTAATACTTATCATCACGTCTTATGTCTCTAATGTCTTTAATTGTTCTGCCTCTAATTGTTCTGCTACAGAATAACAGAACAATGTCTCTAATTGTTCTGGTAGCCTAAAACTCTGGTAACCTAAAACTCAAAGTTCATTCTCTAGTACACTGTTGTCCAATACAACTTTTTGTGATGGTAAAAATATTCTATATCTCTGCTGCCCAATATAGTAGCTACTAGCCACATGTGGCTTTTAGCACTTGGTACGTGGCTGATGCAACTACAGATTTACTTAACTGTAATTAACTTAGTTTCCACACATGGCTAGTGATTACCCTGCTTGACAGCACAGCTCTCACAGATTCATCAGGAAGGGTTCATGGGAATAATATCCTTGGGTTCTCACATGTTGCCCTTTGTGCTTGAAAATCAGTTTGAATGGATACAAAATTGTTGGTTCACATATTCCTTCCTTGGGTATCTTAAATGTTATTCCACTTTCTTCCAGCATAAAACAATGCTGTCAAAGTTTGATGATTATCATTGTATTTCTCTTATATGCCATAAACTCTTAGATACTCAGGACTTTTTAAGTCTGACAATTTTATTAGAATATTCTGCTGTCCATCACTCTGGGTCAATATTCTCAGGTATTCAGGGTGCTGTTTCAAGTACGTACTTTTAAAACTTTTTAAACTTATGCTTTGACTCTGTGTCCCCACTCAAATCTCATCTTGAATTGTAAACTGAGCTGTAATCCCCAGGTGTTAAGGGAGAGGCCTGGTGGGAGGTGACTGGATCATGGGAGCGGTTTCCTCTATGCTGTTCTTGTGATAGTGAGTAAATTCTCATGAGATCTGATAGTTTTACAAATGGCAGTTTCTCCTGCTCTCTCTCTCTCTCTCTCCTGGCGCCTTGTGAAGAAGGTGTCTGCTTTCCCTTCGCTTTCCGCCATGATGACAAGTTTCCTGAGGCCTCCTCAGCCATGCAGAACTGTGAATCAATTAAACCTCTTTCCTTTATATGTTACCCAGTCTTAGGCATTTCTTTATAGCAGTGTGAAAACAACCTAATACAAAACTTCAGCAAAGTTTTCTAAATTATAGCTTTCAGTATTATTTTGTTCCTTTACTTTGGTTTTCTTTTTCAGGGACTTCTATCCGTGTTTGATCTTGTTTGCCTAACTTCAAATATGTCGCTTTTAAATCTTTATCTTCATTTTCTTTCAATTTTAGATTTCCCTCTTCTTACAAAAAAAAAAAAAAAAGGTTTACGGCCGGGTGTGGTGGCTCATGCCTATAATCCCAGCACTTTGGGAGGTTGAGGTGAGTGGATCACTTAAGCCTAGGAGTTCAAGACCAGCTTGGGCAACATGGCAAGACCCCGTCTCTACAAAAACACAGTAATTAGCCAAGTTTGGTGGAGTGTGCCTATAGTCCTAAGTACTAGGAGGCTGAGGCAGCAGGATTGCTTGAACCCTGAAGATCCAGGCTGCAGTGAGCCATGATCATGCCACTGCACTCTACCCTTGGTGACAGAGCAATACCCCGTCTCGAAAAAAAAAAAATTAAAGCCTACAGCACTCATTTCTCTTAAAGCATTATCTGCTCTACATACAGTGTGGGTATCCCTAATTTGAAAATCTGAAATTCAAACTGCTCCAAATTCCAAAACTTTTTGAGTGCCTACATAGTGCTCAAAGGAAATGCTCATTGGAGAATTTTGGAAATTCAGATTAGGGATGCTCAACAAGTATACTGCAAATATTTCCAAATCTAAAAAAATCCTAAGTCCAAAAAACTTCTAGTCCCAAGCATTTTGAATAAAGAATACTCAACCTGAATTTGCTCAAGCTCATTATAGTTTAGTCTCCATTACTAAAACGATCTTCTCCCATTTATAATTCTTTCCTGAGTTCTATTACCTCGGGTAAGTTTTTCTAATTCTGATTTATGTTATTCCTTAATGTTTTGTATTATTAAAATCTGTAGCTCATTTTGAACTAGTTTGTCACAGTTTTAGTTTGTTTAGTTCTGTTTAGTGTTTCACTTCTAACATGTTTTCATTGTCTGTAGGGACATTCTGCTTTTTATTCCTTAAGATATATTCGTGTAGCATTTGACCTTAATCTTTTTCTTTTGTTCTTTTCCCTGACCTGCTCTTTTCTCTATCCTGATCGATTCAGATTCCATTCTTTAGCAGTTTCTTCCCAGTGAGGAATACTATCCTAAAAGGGAGCTCTGGCAGGTCAATTTTGAAGAGTTAGAGGTTAAATTGTTTTAAGCCCTTTAAGTCCTTCTACTATGTGCCACATGCACTCATCTAGTATTTGAGAAACCAAATCCCTTCCCAGTTTTGGCTGCTGCTTCCAAATTGTCGGCCCCACTTTCCAGTAACTTCTTATTCACTGGAATTCTCAGGTACATAAGACAACATCCTCAATGCTTCTATGTAAGAAGAGGTCTGCTCCCTCACAGACCCTGATAGCACGCAGGTCTTGTGACTGGTGGTTTGTCCCTACCTGCTTAAATCCTGGGGTTCATGGGGATACCTCGTCACCTAGTTTTTTGTAGGTGTCATGGGTTTTGACTTCACTATTTCCATTTTTATTCTGAGACTCAGAAAAGCTAATGCTGTTGTTGCCACCACCTTCCTAAAAGTCTGCTGATAACTTAAAATTTTATTAACTCACTGAAAATCCACAACCACTTCATGAATTGGTACTATCAGTACCCCCAAGTCACAGATAAAAAGCTTCAACAATTTGTACAAAATTATACAATAAGTTGTAAAACCACAATTTTAACCCAGATCTTTTAAATTCCAGAGCCTGTATCTTTTATTATGATATTTACAGGACAATTATTCATTACAAAGGAACGTATTTTATAGAATTCCTGAAAAGTTTGCTATAAGGTGAGAAACATCATTATCTTAACTCTTATACGATAAAACTTAACTCAAGGTTTGAGAAACTAGTACAAGTCCCCTAATTCAGCAGGTAGCAAAATGAAAGGTATAAAATCTTACCTGCACGAAATTTGCAATAAACTTGAATCCCTGACTCTCAAATCTCATGGATTTGAGATTATGTTCAATGGCAGAACATAATTTATTAAGTAGGTTAAATAAATTTAATTCTGGAAATTAAAGTAATGGTATCTGATAACCAGAATAGCTGGACGTGCATGTTCATGAATAGGAAAAGAGGCTTCCAAAGTAAGCATCCGCTAATAACCTACCTGGCCTGCCGTGTGTAGGTGGAGATACAAATAGAGGCTGTATAGCATTCTGTGAGGAAACTGAAGTAGTACTAACAGCTTGATTAGCTGCTGCACCATTAGATAAGACTGGAGCTGGAACATTATTGGCACAGGAAGCTGCAACTGCTGCAATATTTCCCATCACCTGTAAGTATGGAAGAAAGTTCAAAACTCTAAGTTTGGTTTCTCAAACAGTAGATTATCTGAACCTAAACTTCAGAAAACAGTAATTAGACAACTAAAACACTGAAAATCAATCTTTATGTAAACCTTATATAGGAAGGTTATTTCTTTCAGAAGATCTTAGGTCACTTGAGAGCTTTGATTTTTTAATTCATTTATTCCTAAAAAGGTAACACACTAATATGATTTGAAAATCAAGTATTAAATCGTATACAACGGAAAGTTTTCCTCCAAGCCCTGTCCTCCGTCTGCCTAGTTGCCTGCTCCCCAGTTAACCTCTGGGCTTCCTGCATATTATTCCAAAGATTTGTAACATATATATATTTTTTGAGACAGTGTCTCACTCCCATCACCCAGGCTGGAGTGCAGTGGCATGATTTCATTCACTGTAGCCTCAACTTTCCAGGCTCAAGTGATTCTCCCACCTCAGCCTCCCGAGTAGCTTAGGACTACAGTCAAGCACCACCACACGCAGCTAATTTTTTATATTTTTAGTAGAGATGGTTTTGTCATGTTGCTAAGGCTGGTGTTTAACCCCTGGGCTCCAGCAATCTGCCTGCCTTAGCATCCCAAAGTGCTGGGATTACAGGCATGAGCCACTGCATCTGGCCTACACTTTTTTCTTTTTTAAAGAGAAAAGGTGCCTTGCATTTTTTATAACATTGTAAGACTATTTTTTTTTCTGCTTAGGCCACAGCTCCTTAACAGAATAAACTATTTTTCCACAGCACCCAGTACAGGGCTGTGCACAGAAAGATATTCAATAAATGGTAACAGAAGCTTCTTGAACATACTGTCCTCACTGGGAGTCTCCATTTTCTTACCACCCAACCACAGTGTGGCTGCTACCCACACTGGTTCTCTGAAACTGTATTCAAAGTCACTAGTGGTCTCTATGGCAACAAATCTTAATAGACTTTTGTTAAGCCTTATGTTGCTTGACCTCTTGGCAGCAACTGACACCTGGCTGCTCCTTGAAACATTCTCTTCCTAGGGCTTCCATAATATTCCTCTCTCATGCTTTTCCTCCCTCCTTGGATGTTCCTTCTCTGCCCATTTTCTAAAATTTGATAATTCATGGGCTCTGTTCCAGATACTCTTCTCAACCTCTTCCTTTGCCCAGGATGATCTTGTTTACTCCTATGGTTTCAGCTACCTTTTTATAATGCTGACTCTCGATTCTACAGGAAAGCTTTAAAATTAAGTTTCAGTTAATGAGACAGAATTGACAGGTAATTTAGATTAACTCACTCTTTATATAAAAGAGGTTCACAGTAAACTATGAGTAATCTAAAGCCAGCACATAGAACAGTGTCTGGAACACAGTAGATGCTCAATAATTTGTTGAATTAATTTACTAATCACTGTGTCAGACACCGGAAGGTACAATAATACCTAAAGGAACGAAAGCAGTTGCTTTGAAGTATGATGAAGGTAAATGAAAAGAGAAAATTCATTTTTCTCTGTTCAGGCCATTGTAACTGCTTAATAACACTATGAAGATTACCTTCTGGGGGTAGTTGTACGAGGTAACTGTGTCCTGAGGAGACATAGAACATGATTTTCTGTCCTGAAGAGACTTTAATGAATACAAAAATATAGTTACATAAAAAAAACCACATCAATAACTTTGTTTCAACTATATGAAAGTGTTCAGTCCTGAAATAATTCAAATTTGGAAGTGACTCCTAAGACAAAGCTCTAAAAGTTGTCACTCTAAAACGTGATGTAGGTGACTGTTTTGTTACGTATCTACAGAAATCCTCAGCACATCTAACTCAAGTCCTGATGTAGATACTAAAATGTAACTGATGATTGAAATCTAAACACCTTTTCAGTGATCTTTGCCTTAAAAGCTTCAAGTACCATAGGACCAACAATAGTTTTGCTTAAAAAAAAAAAAAAGGCATTCTAGCTGAATATGTAGCTTGGTACAAGGGTAAACTGGTTATTCAGCTGCATTTTATCTAAGTGGGATTTAACAGATACTGTAAGATTCAAATATCATTCTCCTCTGGCTTAAGACCCTGTCTTTCTAAAAGTAAAAATGATTTTGAATGGCTTGGACTCATGAATGATAGACTGTCATGGCAGCAAGAACTCTAGCAGCAGAGATTGGTTACATTAGTAAGAGCACAGACAGAACAGGGAAAGGAAATCACAGGAAACAATGAGAAGTACCTTACTGTGAAAAGGTGAGCCCCACTTAACATGGACAATTCCAAAGTCTGTGTTCAAGTATAGCCAAAGCCCCTGCCAAAAAGCAAACATTTGCCCCGGCTCAGAAGTTCCCAAGTGAATACCAAATGCTTCTACAGAAACATTTATTTGAGTGTTAGACATGGAAATAAGAAGTATAAATAAATGTTCATGAGTTCTTAGAAGGCTGTGCCTGGAAATCTTTATTCAAAGAGCCCTGCGTTGGACAAAAACAAAGATAAATAGATGGGACTTAATTAAGCAAAAAAGCTTCTGCACAGCAAAAAGAAATAACCAGCAGAGTAAACAGACAGACAGCCCACAGAGTGGCAGAAAATCTTCGCAATCTAGCAATCTATACATTCGACAAAGGACTAATATCAAGAATCTACAAGAAACTCAAATCAGCAAGAAAAACACAATCCCATCAAAAAGTGAGCTAAGGACATAAATAGACAATTCTCAAAAGATACACAAATGGTCAACAAACATATGAAAAAGTGTTCAACATCACTAATTATCAGGGAAATGCAAATAAGAACCATTATGTGATACCGCCTCACTCCTGCAAGAATGGCCATAATAAAAAATATCAAAAAATAGATGTTGGCATGGATGTGGTGAAAAGGGAACGTTTTTATACTGTTGGTGGGCATGTAAACTAGCACAACCGTGTACACTATTTTCCACTATGGAAAACAGTGTAGAGATTCCTTAAAGAACTAAAAGCAGAACTACCATTTGATCCAGCAATCCCACTCCTGGGTATGTACCCAGAGGAAAATAAGCCATTACACAAAAAAGATACTAGTACATATATGTTTATAGCAGCACAATTTGCAATTGCAAGAATATGGAACCAGCCCAAATGTCCATCAACCAACAAGTGAATAAAGAAAATGTGGTGTATATATACCACGGAATACTACTCAGCCATACAAAGAAACAAAATAATGGCATTTGAACCAACTAAATGGAATTAAAGACCATTATTCTAAGTGAAGTAACTCAGGAATGGAAAACCAAACACTGTATGTTCTCACTCATAAGTGGAAGGTAAGCTATGAGGACACAAAGGCATAAGAATGATACAATGGACTTTGCGGACTTGGGGGAAATGGTGGGAAGTGGGTGAGGGATAAAAGACTATACATTGGGTACAGTGGTACACTGCTCAAGTGATGGGTGCACTGAAATCTCAGAATTCACCACTGAAGAATTTAGTCATTGTAACCAACCACCACCTGTTCTCCAAAAAACCTATTGAAATTAAAAATTAAAAACAAGGTTTTTTTTTAAAATGTATGCTGATAATTCTGAAGACATTTATCCTTTATTTTAGCAACAACAGAAATTTGCTATGGATTTGGTGATGGGGGCAGGGGGCTTGGAACATATGAAGAAATTGAAAGCTCCTGGAGTTGTTTAAATTCAGAACAAAAAGGAACATGTGACAAGTGAAATTGAAGGAACAGAAAAAAAAGTATTATCATCCCTCATGGTAAGATTCTTACTTGCCTTTTCACTTGGATGGCTACTTCAAAAGGTGATATCAAAAGCACATGATATGAGAATAGTAATGGTGGCAGGAAATGGGGAAAAAAACTTTCTCTGGAAGGAGCAAAGTAAAGGAAGGAGAAAAAACAGAAAGAGAATTACGTATCAAGAGTTTTCTTCTCCTTCCTAAGGTATATTGTCTAAACAGTAAAAACAAAAAATTAGTACACGAAGCTGCCACAGTTAAAATTAGTCATAATTAGAGAATTTAAGGTAGTTATTCAAGTTCTTCATAAATATTCCAGTTCTCCTGAATAGACGGTAGGATTGCCCTTCCCAGCTCCATCCAAAGTCAAGAATGACCATGTTACTTGGTCAATAAAATATGAACAGAACCGTTAGGAGTCAGTGTTCAATTTCTGTATCTTTTGCCTGCTGCAATGATCATGATGGCATGTGCCCATCAGCCTGGGTCCCTGAGTGACTATGAAGAACAGTCACAGTCTGGCAGCCTGCTGCCAACTCGCATTGAACTATATAACATTAGCATGAACAACTTTTCCTGAGTTAAGTCACTGAGACTTTGGGGGTTGTTATTGCAGCATAACCTAGCTTGACTAAAACAGAAGACTAACTAGAAGTAGGGTACAGCTATAACAAAATCCTAATTAAGAAGGAGATTATGAACATGCAGCTCTCAGGGTAAGCAATTTAGAAGACTGGATGTTAGTATTGTGCTTTGATTACTGTTGGCATGGTTTAAAGCAAGTTATTTTAAGACAGGTGTGTGTAGGACAGAATTAGTAGTTTGCAGGCAGGAATGAAAGGGAATAGATTCCTTGAATACAGGGACTCACAGGGTTGAAGGAATAACTGTTTCAACCCTAAACTATAAAATGTAGTATTGACGAATGGTTTCAATGACGACAAACAGTGAAAACTTGACCTCACAGCAAGAATCAACTCTTTGGTTAAAACCCGAGTGCATTAAGATGTCTCAAAGTTGAGTTCAACTAAGGATGTAACACCTAGTAAGTCCTTGCACTTCAACAAAATGGCTTGTAGAAAAATGTCCAAAAGGCTTGGCTCTTCCATCAATGCCTGATTAACTCAAGCCACTTGCAATCAAATAGACAGAAATAAGGATAAAACCACAAAGAATTACAGCAAATCTTAGTAGTATATCTATAGAAAAAATTGTAGTATGGCTATTGGTACATGAAACCAAAAGAAATCAAACAGAAGCAGAATAAATTAATCTTAGAGTCAAAGAAATCACGAGTCAGAACTAAAACCATTCAACTGAGATAAAAACACCCTTGTGCCTCCAATCTTCTATAAGTAGCAAGCTTAGAAAGCTGCTCTGTTGCCAAGGAAAGATTATTCTCCAATGCCTACTCCAAATATTGCCAGGAAGGATGGGCCTTGGGAGTAACCAAGAGCCCCAGAAAATAAACGAGAGATCCTCCAGGGAAGAGTCCCATGAGTACGTTGGGTGCCCTTACAACGTCTGCCCATGAAGTTCTCAGAATTGCTACAGGCCAGTAACTGTTTTTTTATTCCCCATTTTCTCCCTTTCTGAATAGAAATTTCAGTCCCTGCTTCAGCACTGTAAACTGGGGAGGGAGGGGGGAAAAATAAAAAACCTCCATATTTTTGGTTTTAGGTCTCAAGGTCACAAGAAGCTACATCTGGACCCAATATAACAAGTACTACACATAGCTCAGAAACCCCAGGCTTTGAGTTTGATTACACTGAATGGGACCTTTTAGGATGCCTCCTTTGACGTAGAAACAAGTATTCTGCCTATGAGAGGGAAGGCAAGTTGAATGATACAGTTCTTAGTGCTGCTAAAATGTTTCTTTTTGCCTTCCAGGCACAAAGAAGTTAGACTCTTCAGTGGGACCTGCTCTGGCCAGCGAAATGGAAAAGAAGGTGACATGTATCACCTCTGGTGGAAGTTGTAAGAGCCAGTGCACCAGTTACCAAATTTTATTTCCTGCCTTGGCAATCGTGGATGAATTTCCATCAGCCTGAGTACCTGAGCAAGCCCTTCTATAGACCTCTACTAGACATGTAGCATAAAGGAGAAGCAAACTTTTGTTATATTGAGATGTATGATCCATTATAATAAAAAAACATAAAACCTTCTAAAAGATCATTACTGCCTATGTTAGAATATCTCTAGAATATCTCTAAATATATTAGTTCCAGAAAACGAGTTAATTTCTGTCTCAATTTCTTCATCTTCAAAATGAGAATGATACTAAGCCTCACAGGGTTGTTCTGATTTAAATACATTTATATGTATAGCTCTTAACAGTGCCCCAGTACATAGTAGGCGCTATAACTCTTTGCTATTATTAAATACCTACCAAGTTTGCTGTAGATGCAGTTGTGCTATAAACACCTGAAGTTTCATAGTCTGGCTCTAGAGAATATAGCCAAAGTAAAAAATGAGCATTATTTTATAGCTTGAAATTCTATAAACAATGATGAATGCCAGATCACTTCTAGATCTTACTGACCTGCACGATAAAGATATTCTTCATGATATCCCCCTGGGGAAAAAAGACAAGATAGAAGAAATGTGTTTATATAGGCCTTTTTAGCTCAGCAGAGCCAAATGGCCAGCACTTGCTTTTTCCACCAGTTTTATGGTTATATGTTCAAAACTAAAATGCATACATCCTGGAAAGTGATATGAGCTTTCACACTAGTCAACAGATATTGAAGCCAGAGATTAGTTGTACGCTGTACAAATTTCTCCTCCGAAAATCCACTTAGCTCTTAGAGGTCAGGCAGAGGTGAAAACTCAGTTGTGTCCAATTTTTCCAGGGAGGCTACAGTGTGGTGATTAAGCACATAGGCTCTGAAGTGAGGACTGCCTAGATTTGAATTCTGATTAACTACACTACTTTAGGCAAGTTACTTAATCTCTGTGCCTCAATTCTTCACTGTAAAATGGAGTAACAGTACCTAGCTCATAGGCCTTTTGAGGATGGTTAATGGAAGTAAAAGTAACTTAGCATAGTGCTTTACATATACTAAATACTCAATGGTGACTATAAAGTATGAGTATAATCTACTGTTTCCTTAGGTGGACATTAAGGGAATATGTTATGCCTCATCTGTTTTTCAATCTGTTTCATGTAAATAATACATGTAAAATCAGTGTGTCCTCAAAGGATCGCTCAGTAGACAGAACTACTTTTAAGATTTCTGTATCATCGAAATGCAGAGAAAGTCAATATTCAATCAGATGGTTTTCCACCAAATATAATCTGGCAGTTCTAAACTAAATTTGATTATTAAACACACCACTTATCAAACACACATGCATGAAACTCCTCCAGATTTAAGGTGGGAGCAAAGATTTGGTTATTTCAAATATGCCACATCACCCATAGAGCTAAAAGACAAAAGGGTCATCTAAATAAGAGGGCAGACAGTAAATGTCCTTAAGCACACGCATGCACACATGTACAAAGTTTTCACAGATCATTCTTGTACTAGATTTTTTCACTCATTAAATTCCTAAAAATATCTATTTTTTTTCTATACTAGCAGAAAAAAAAAGTACCACAAGAAAATAAGAAACTTATTCATAAGTTAAGTCATTGGGAATGCCTGACACCTCCTTAAGCCATTCAATGCTCCACAATTGTTTCAATAGGCATTTACAGTATCTTTTAAAAGGAACAAGGTAAAAATAAACACATTCCATGGTAGGAGTCAATATAAAAACTGTTAAGGGTATGTGTGTGTATATGATTCCAATTATATAAAATGTCCAGCAGAGGCAAATCCATAGAGACAGAAAACAGACTGACGGTTGCCAAGAGCTGGGGGTTGGGGCAAATCGGGAATGGCTCCTCATGGGCACAGGATTTCACTACTGTGGTGATAAAAATGTCCTAATATTAATTGTGCTGATGGTATGCAACTCTAAATAAAAAACCCACTGAATTGTATTCTTTAAATAGCTTAATTGTATGATATGTAAATTATATCTCAATAAAACAGTTATAAAAAATTATATCTCTGCCATTTACCAAGGATATGACTGTGGCCATGTCATTTACCCTCTGAATCTCAATTTCCTCATATGTAAAATAGGGACAGCACATTCCTCAGAAGAACACATGAAGGACTATATTATGAATATAATGACTTAGTAGAGTGGATATCACACAGGGTTCAATAAAGAGTAATGTTTATAGATCAAATAGACTTATTTGGGCAAAGAAGTTACTTCATAGCAGTCTTAAAAAATAACAGCCAGTTACACGAAAAGCCTAACATATACAAATGATGAGGACAACTATATAGTTGTGTATTTGTATAGTTGTATATTGTAGTTGTATAGCTGTATAGTTGTATATTGTATAGTATAGTAATAGTGCCTTACTAATAACGAACAGATGTTTTCCATACTGGTATCTGACACCAAGTCAAAAACTCACTAAAGACCTATGCAGAGAGCTGAAAACAAGTTATAACAATGTAGCAGCCTACTGAAATAGAAGTCTATTCTTCTGAGAAATACCAGGACATATTCAAAAACCCAGCAAGCATTAAGAACTTATATAAATCTTTCAAAACTAAGCTAGCGGAACAGAGAGAGATCCCAAAACCAAATTGGTCTACTTCACCGTCCTGATGTGCCAATGCCACAAGAATCTTTTAAAAAATATTTAACTGTAATTGACTCACCATTTTCACTCTGGCCATTGCCCTCCTCTAAATTCAAAGTCTGTTTGCCTGAGCTATGTCCCCGCCTTCCAACACAGTATCCTGAAGTAGCAGGAACCATTGTAGAGGGACCTCCATGATTCTGTATCAAAGAGACACATATACTGCAATTCTCACTATATAGTCAGGAAAAAAAAGCTACAGGGACGTTTTAAAAGGCAGTTTAAAAACTAGCCTAACAATGTGAACTTCTGTTGTAAGAGAATTCTGTAATTGTTTTCCATGCAGTTTAGAATACAAAAAATATGAAGTCACAATCAAGAAAACAGAAAATATTAACACATACTCTATAGGCAAGATTAAGTCTACCTCTATTCCCTTTTCTAGGAACAGCTGGGAGAAAATGTCTCTTTTCTCATTTTCAATTCAAAAGAAAAGGCTTTGTTTGGTTATTTGTACAAAATCTAAAATTTATCCACATTGCCTTTACTTCAAAAAAATAAATGAAAAAAGTAAACAGCTTTTTGAGTAAAGCACTGATCCACTCACAGGTAAAGCTGGATAAGCAGTCTCATCCCCTTCTTCAACTTCATAAAAAGTAATAGTTTCTTCTAAGCCCCTGGGCATCTGTCCATTCCCTGGGGCAAATCCATACTGGGACTCCTTGTTCATACAACTCATCTGGCGGTGACTACGTCTAAATGAACTTAAGTGGTTCAAAGAATAAAAAAGTAAAAATGATGAAATATAACTTGTTCCTAACTTCTAAATAATAGTTCAAATATCTCAAAGTTGACACTTTTTAAAACACTAATGTTCAGCAATGAACTCAGACTTACCCATTTTCTCTGACTTTCAACACAATACTCACCGAGATCTATAAGAGAAGTTATCATAGCTCTGGCAGCACCTTTTACCTGGGCCTGGGTAAAAATCAACTTTAGGGCCCGGCATGTTGTGCCTGTTTATAAACCGAGATGAATTCCTAAGAATAAAGAGAAAGAAAAATAAAACTCTCTATTCACCAATATCTAAGTAGTCAGTCTCCGTAGTTAAATAGAACTATCTGTCTTTCTAAAAACATTCAACTAGAAAGAGCTCTGCTCTCTGCAATATTGGCATTAGGCCTATCTATTATTAATGAAATACAGTCTGTATGTCACACAGACCCTCATCTTGATGGCATTCTATCTTCTTGGATCTCTTCAACTGCTTCATATTTCCCTAGACCATGAAAATACAAATCTGTCAATGTCTTACCTGGGCATCCCATATCCCCGACCTTGTCTCGGAGATGGATGTTGAGGATGAAAATGTTCATTAGACATAACATTGCCAGCTGTCTGTGAGTAGTGCATTGGAGGATCATGCCCATAATGCATACTGTGTTGTAGCCTGGGTGGGAGGAGAGGTTCTCCCTTGCCATAAGCCATAGTCATGTAAACTTCTTTTCCTCGAATTTTCTTGAACATCTTCTTCTGTTGCTTTATGTCCATCTCTGATATAACTTTCAGGCAAACAAAGAAGTAGCAAATAAGCTCATAATCAAAGCAAAAGGCCCAGTGTACTGTCACCACCACACTGCCTTAAACTTTCCAATGCTTCCCCTAGGAACAAACCAAATAAACATAGGGAGGGAATTTTTGTGTTTTTGAAGGATATACTAATCTTTTATTTGGAAGGACAAAACCAGCAGGTAATTTCTGTATCAACAGGTATATCTCGGCACTATCCCTAGTATGGGCAGGTTAGTATAGGTCATCAAAACACTGAGTCATCCATGACCAGGCACGGTGGCTCACGCCTGTAATCCCAGCACTTTGGAAAGCCGAGGTGGGTGGATCACCTGAGGTCAGGAGTTCAAGGACAGCCTAGTCAACATGGTGAAACCCCGTCTCTACTGAAAATGCAAAAATTAGCCAGGCGTGGTAGTGTGTGCCTGTAATCGCAGCTACCCAGAAGTCTGAGGCAGGAGAATTGCTTGAGCCCGGAAGGTGGAGATTGCAATGAGCCAAGATTGCGCAACTGCACTCCAGTCTGGGCGACAGAGTGAGATTGTCTCAAGAAAAACAAAACAAACAAACAAAAAGCCCCCAAAACACTGAGTCATCCAATCACATACATTACCATTCTCTAATAAATTATGCCTGTTAATATCCCCGGCTGCTTCTATGAGGTGTTTTCCTAGTTCTCTAAGAAATATTTTTCCCCCTCAGGTTAAGATCCATGTCAGCTTAAGTTTTTAAAATTAATTTTTATAGGTGTAGAACAGTATGTATTTATGGGGTACATGCAGTATTTTGATACAAGCATACAATGTATAATGATTAAATCAAGGTAACTGGAATATCTATCACCTCAAACATTTACCATTTCTTTATGTTGGGAACATTCCAAATCCAGTCCTCTAGTTGTCTTGAAATATGCAATTTGTTAACTATAGTCACCCTATAATGCTACCAAATACTACATCTTGATCCTACTACCTAGTTTTGTACCCATTAACTAATTCCTCTTTATCCCCCACCCCCACTACCCTTCTGAGCCTCTGGTAACCATCATTCTACTCCTCATCTCCACAATATCATTTTTTTCTTTTTAGCCCTCAAATATGAGTGCTCAAGTTTACACAAAGTCCCTTAAGAACCATGGTTCTCAACCAGGGACAATTTTGCCTCTCCCTCCTCTAGGAAATATTTGGCAATGTCTGAAAACATTTTTGTTTCTAGTGGATAGAAGCCAGGGATGCTATGAAGCACCCTACAATGCACAGGACAGCATCCCGACAATGTAGTAGTATCCATTACATTATCAGTAGTGCTAAAGTTGAGAAACCCTACCCTACAACAAGACATATGACATATCTTTAAAAAATAGTACAATGTAGGTAAGTAAAAGCAGGTACATGAAGGGGAAAATAAAATAACAACCTTTAGCATACAAACCTATTTCTGGGACATATCCCCCAGGCATTTTCTGATAACCTCTTCCTTTCCGACTGGGCATAGCATTCCAGGCAGGAACAGGCATCACTTGGGTAACTGGTTTTAAGTTAGCCAGTGGAACAACATGCCTTAACAGTTAAAGGTATCACCATGAAGATACTGCAACACAGACTTAACTCTCATTCAATACACGTAGCCCACCCCTTATATTTCAAGTGTATTCTATTAAAACCTGGTTGACACCAGTTTCCTTGCTTGTTATTAATTTAGAAAACCTAAGAGTAGTTTGTGCAATTTCACTGCTGTTTCTAGTACCGATCACATTTCAGAAGAAAGACTGGTAGACCATATTAATTCACAAATATTTGCTGCACCTCCTTGGAGGATTAAATCTCCCCACCCCATTAACATGAGGCTTGGGAATGTAAACCACTCTGCTTAATAAAGTATGAGACATTTTAAGATTCAGACAAGTGGTTTGTTCTCATTTTATTCCCCATAATCATGGATGCACGTGTTAAAACAGGATCTCTGTTGAACCAGATCCCATTTTCTGACCCACTACGGACATGCTAAATGAAGGAGAAAGGACCTTACTGTTTTAAGCTGCTGAAATGTTTTGGTTGTTAGGGCAGCATAGCCTCACTTTAATGGTTCTCAAAGTGGACCAGCAGCATTACCATCACCTGGTAACTTGTTCAAAATTAAAATTCTTGGGCCCCACCTCAGACTTACTGAATCAGAAACTTTAATGACTGGGCTCACTAATCTTGTGTTTTCACAAGCCCTCCAGGTAATTCTGGTGCATGGTAAAGTTTGAGAAAGACTAGATTAGTTTATCTTCATACTGGCAGAGGCTCAGTAATCCAACTTTGCAATTACTGTGAACAGTTTTGTATCAGAATTCCGTTGTACTTAATATTTCTAATAACTAGGTTAGTGTCTAAGATTTGAAAACTTTTATACATATCTAATACCTATATTGAGATTTCATACTTCAACACATGCTTTTATAATTCAAGGTAAGTCATCCTAGGCCAACACTAGATACAATTCTGGTTCTCTTACTAGCATCCTGGTAATTCTCAATTTAATATTACAAAATGGAACCAAGAACCAAAGATTTCAGTAATTCAACAAATTATCATATTCCTACTTTTCTGCCAATTCTTCAATGAAGACTGTTACTGAATTGTTCTCATTTCCAACTTCCTGGATATGAGCATTATAATATCTTCCATCTGATTCCAAGCAAACCTGAAGAGAGAATACATCTAGTCTCAAAACTAGTGACAGACACGGCTACCGCCAAACAAAATACCACTTTTCCCCAAATGGAGTTCAGTGTCTACTTTTTAAAGTAATTCACATCAACACTGCCAGTCTGGATCAAAGGAGGCAGCACATACTGAAAGAACCTTACATCTAATCACTAAATTTGTAATTAAAATTTAACACAGACATTAAATAAACATTTTTTTTTTTTGGCTGGGTGTGGTGGCTCATGCCTGTAATCCCAACATTGAGAGGCCAAGGTGGGAGGATTGCTTGAGGCCAGGAATGAGACCAGCCTGGGCAACACAGTAAGACCCTCTTTCTATAAAAGAAAATAAAAATAGGCCAGGTACGGTGGCTCATGCCTGTAATCCCAGCCCTTTGGGAGGCCAAGATGGGTGGATCACGAGGTCAGGAGAACAAGACCATCCTGGCTAACATGGTGGAACCCCATCTCTACTAAAAATACAAAAAATTTGTCAGGCATGATGGCAGGCGCCTGTAGTCCCAGCTACTTGGGAGGCTGAGGCGTGAATCCGGGAGGCGGAGCTTGCAGTGAGCCAAGATCGTGCCACTGCATTCCAGAGCCTGGGAGACAGAGCAAGACTCCGTCTCAAAAAAAAAAAAAAAGAAAAGAAAAGAAAAATTAAAGAACTTAGCCAGGCATGGTGGTATGTACCTGTAGTCCCAGCCACTAGAGAGGCTGAGGAAGGAGGATCACTTGAGCCCAGGAGTTCGAGGCTGCAGTGAGCCATGATCATACCACTACACTCCAGCCTAGGCAACAGAGCTAGACCCGATCTCTTTAAAAATAAAAATAAAAAAAGTTTCTAGTACTTTGTAAATAAGTCTTGCTCAACTCATATTATGACTACAAGCACATTCTTAAACAAACTACTGATTCTTGAAGAAGGAACTAACCTGACACTTGTCTCCCAAATAGTACTGTCTCCCAGCATACTCCATGTAATCAGATTTTTGAAGTTCTATTAAAAGAAAATGAAGATTCAAGCTCAACTAAACTGGTTCCTTTCCTATATCATTTAATTTCCTCATTTACTTTTACCATGTTACCGTAGTGCCGTTGACAATGCTACCACTATAAGTGAAAATAGGGGTAAAGTGCCAAAGGGCCATCCTATCATTCTGGATGAGTTATTTCTGCAGTTAATTTAAAGAGATCTGCCAGAATAATTTTGTGCTTTAAAAAACAAATACGTGGAAATTGGGAGTTTCTAATCAGAGATAGTCAAACACTAATGAGGTACAATTTGAAAGCAACACTATTCAGCTTCTTCAAATCAACCTATATATTTTTTAACAACTTACTGTGTTTCCCAAGGTCTTAACCTCATTCTAGATTGTTAACTACAGCTAAGTTTACCAGGGTTCAAGCAGTTGAATGTGAAATACTAAAGGCTTATCTTGAAGGCAAAACTTTAAGGCCTAGGTTGATCACTTTAGTTATAAGGAGAGAAACAATGACCTGTTTTCAAAGGTTGGTAAACTTTTTCTGTAAAGAGCCAGATAATAAGTATTTTCAGTTTCTTGGGCCATACATTCTGAGAGTCTTGAGTAGACTCTCAGAACTACTCAAACTCTGCTGTAAAATGTTATGAATGCTGAAATTTGAATTATATAATTTTCATGTGTCACAATATATTATTCTTTTAACTTTTTCTGTCATTTAAGAATTAAAGACCATTCTTAGCTCATAGACCACATAAAAACTGCTGGTGTGTCAGATTTGACCCACAGGCCTAACCTACTCATTTATCAAGGAAGGTGGTCTTAACACCTGGAATTTAAGATGAGCTTGTTTTCAGTCACTAAGTTTCTTAAAGCTATCTAAAAATTATCTCCACACAGTCTTTGCAAAGTTGAAGTCCCAGGCAAACATCAGACTCTAAAAAATCCCTCCCACATCTGAAGCTATGTTCCCTCCTGTGGATTTAAATCATATATAAAGATAAAAAGCATCAGGCTGTTTTTTATAACAGTATTTCTTATAAGAGGTGTTCACCATAATTTGCAAAATTATACTCCTGAAGTTGTCAGGATTCAAAAGTATTCTGTTGATATTTCATTACCTTTTCTGCTGTCCAACCAAACATCAAACTCTACATTACGATAGATTTCCGGATCCAGGGCTTTGAGCACCTTATAGGGGAAGGGCATCTTTGATGGATTTTCTGGAGACTAAAACAAAAATAATCATGCTAGAAACTCACAATCCTTAGTCTTCCTTCTATGAAGAAGGAAAAATTAAGTTGCTTCCTTCTTAAAAAAAAGTTGTTCTTTATTAAAACAAGAAATAAATCGCACAATAAACTTTGCCATATATTTTAAAAATCAGGAGACTAAAGTAGCAAAATGCAAGTACTCTAAAAGGTTTTAGATGGCAGAAGGGAAATAATGTCTAAATGAGGCAATGACTCAGGACACATCCCATATAAACCAATGCAACACAAACCAGGATTAAAAATTCAGAGCTATTCAGGAAGTGTTATGATATAGACATGGAGGTGCAAGTATTTCTGTACTCTACAATACCTGGAAATATCTGAAGCTTACTTCATTTTGGTCAAATCCTGTTAAAATTTCCAAAGGAACTACCATTTTTCTTCTGCTTTCCTAGAATTTCACTATATTCAATACTATTCCAAAATTACAAGCACCTCAGGTACACACAGAGATTGCTATAATAGTATTTGACTTATTTAGCTAGCCTCAAACTGAAGGCCTATTTGATTTTAGTCCTATATGGATGGTGAAATTTCTCCTGTTTCTCTAACTTTAAACCATGATTATCACCTAGTTTGAAGAAAATAAAGATAGGCATTGTATTCCTTAATGAAAAAAACCTTAGTGTCACAAGACTGATTACAAACTAAATATTGGGTTTGTAATATTTAACTTAAAAGCATATTGCTCCGGGAATTTCTGAAGTGTTCAGTTTGTTCTGAAAAATCTAAAATTCTGTAAAAATAAGAATTCAAAGAACATTAAGCATGCATTTTAAGTTTAAAGATAGGTAAGACTTTCACAAAGGAAAATGACCAACTCCTCCCTCAACCCATATAACTAGAATATACTATCTGACTTTAACTAGTTTGTCATGAGTATGAAAATTCTTTGCCTTAGAAAATATCAAACCTTTGTTTCTTCTGTTCCTTTATTGTAGCTCTCTGGTATATTTTCAGCATTGTAGCAGGCACCCCACTCTTCCATCCTATTTCAAAATATTTAGAGCAAAGAGCTTTTTATAAATGCAGAATTTACTTATCTTAAGCCTAACGACTACACCACCACCTAGTGGTAAATTAGCTCAGTTCTAAAACTAAGGCAAATGCTTTTTCATTCCAACATTTGCATTTACGCTTCCTTTTTATAAGTATGTGCTACAATATACTTAGCAGATTACCTCCTGTATTTTACAACTGCTGTGAGAACACACTCTTAGGGTGATCCCTATGATCCCTGCCTCATTCATTTTACTGGTCTCTCTCTCCTCTGCCGCCTGTAAGGAAGCAAGCAGCCATGTTCACCACCACAATGTAGCAGAGGTGAGGTAATTACTTCCAGCCAACTGACAGCAAAAACTTGAAGCTCTCAGTCCTATAGTTCAAAGGAACTGAATGCTGCCAAGAACCATGAGTGGGGAAGTGGATCTTTCTCCAGTCAAAGCTTCAGCTAAGAACTCAGTCCTGACCAACAACCTCATTATAGTCTTATGAGACACTCAGCAGAAGATCCAGCCAAGCCATGCCCAGATTCCTAATCCACATAAATTGTGAGAAAAGTGTGCTGTTTTAAGCTGCCAACTTTATAGTAACAGTGTTACACAGCAAAACATAACTAATACACCTTGCCTTCCGACTACCGTAGTTTCCGAAAGCCTAAAGTCCTTAAGACAAGTGATCAGTGACGAATGAAGCAACCTTTACCCTAATACATGGTTGCCACTCCTGGCAGTCCCAAATGAGCTTGGTGCTACTTTAGAATCAGTATTTTCTCAAAGTATGATCCACAGCCTACCTACATCAGAATGCTTAGGCACACTTGTTTAAAAAACAGATTCGTGGTCCCATCCTGACCTCAAATTTTGTGACAGTAGGCGCAGGAACCTACCTTTCTAACAAGCACTGTAATTCTTATACAACTAAAGTTTGAGAACCATGTAATTAGATAGTTCTGAACTTTCTTCTAGCAATACAAAACGAACCTGAACAAAACCCCCAAAGTCTGGGCATCTCACAATACATCTCTTTGGTAAAACTCTCCCCCCATTAAAAATATATATCCTAACATATGTGTATGTGTGAATATGTAACCTAACTCATAAGCTTGCCAGGCCCCTTACACTTTCAAATGACTATGCACATAAGTATGAAACATAATTATTATAATATCCCCTTTCCCTTTATTACCTATTCTGATTTGAACTCTTGTAATCAGTATGGACATCCTCACTTCCAGTCACAGCATTATTTCTGTTCTTCTTAGAACCACTTCGAAACAATTTAATCGCAGTTTTCAACTCCTCTTCATCCACAACAAACACATCTTTATAGAGAATTTCATACAATACAGCTGAAGAAAAAATGGCCGAAATTCCAATTGTCAAAATAAGGTTTATATTAACTATGTGAAAATAGTCATAATCCTGCGTGTAAATAGGTACCAACAAGGTTTTAAAGGCGCTATTCATGGTAGGTCCCTGAGTGAAAACAAGTCATCTGAAATCACACCCAAAATTTATAAAGCCTTCACATACCCTGACAAACAGCTGCACTTGACTGAAATTGTTTTGAGTACACAGAATCGTAGTGACCACTATTTGAATAGCAGAGTAGAATCTAAAGAAAAACACACAGAACAATTAAGTGAATGTTACACATCTTAAAACCATGAAATTAAGATGATAATTAACTTGAAATTGAGTCAGTAGTCAGTAACTGATAACTATTTGAATTTCTTTTTTTAAAAGTGATTTTTAAAATCTAAATATAAGGAAACGCAACCTGTACCTCATAAAGATTTTCTTGGCAGTGACTTTTAAATGCCAAGATTAAAATTACTACTAAGGTTACACTGTGAGCCTTAATCACATTAATATGCCAAACAAGTCCTGATTTACAAATTTGCCAAAAAAAAAAAAAAAAAGGGACACTTAGAAATTGAGTTATTGAACATAACAGAAAGCCTAACAGATGCCAAAAGACCCAGCTAACTTCTAAGAATGACTGGAAAAATTAGGTCAAATACCCAAATACTCCAAACTCAGACTAAGGGAGGAAAGGGATTTTATTCAATTATTTAAAAAGTTATCAATTTTGAAAATCTTGTTGATTCTGGGGAGCCCAGCACGTGGCACGAGCGTCACGCCAAACAGCCCGCTCGCCTTCTCTTCGGTGTCGGCCGCCGCCACCTCCCAGAACCTCCTCGTGCCCTCGTGTGCCAGGCCCGCGGTGGCCGAGATCCACGGTTCACAGCATGTCCGCCTTGGCCCCTGCTGCGGAGGGAGAGGGAACCCCCGCCCAGCCTGCATCCGAGAAAGAACCCGAAATGCCCAGTCCCAGAGAGGAGAGCGAGGAGGAAGAGGACGAGGACAACCAGGAGGAGGAGGAAAAAGAAAAGAGTCTCATCGTGGAAGGCAAGAGGGAAAAGAAGAAAGTAGAGAGGTTGACAATGCAAGTCTCTTCCTTACAGAGAGAGCCATTTACAATTGCACAAGGAAAGGGGCAGAAACTTTGTGAAATTGAGAGGATACATTTTTTTCTATGTAAGAAGAAAACCGATGAAGTTAGAAATCTACACAAACTGCTTTACAACAGGCCAGGCACTGTGTCCTCATTAAAGAAGAATGTGGGTCAGTTCAGTGGCTTTCCGTTTGAAAAAGGAAGTGTCCAATATAAAAACAAGGAAGAAATGTTGAAAAAATTTAGAAATGCCATGTTAAAGAGCATCTGTGAGGTTCTTGATTTAGAGAGATCAGGTGTAAATAGTGAACTAGTGAAGAGGATCTTGAATTTCTTAATGCATCCAAAGCCTTCTGGCAAACCATAGCCAAAATCTAAAAAAACTTCTAGCAAAGGCAGTAAAAACGAACGGAACAGTTCTGGAATGGCAAGGAAGGCTAAGCGAACCAAATGTCCTGAAATTCTGTCAGATGAATCTAATAGTGATGAAGATGAAAAGAAAAACAAGGAAGAGTCTTCAGATGATGAAGATAAAGAAAGTGAAGAGGAGCCACCAAAAAAGACAGCCAAAAGAGAAAAACCTAAACAGAAAGCTACTTCCAAAAGTAAAAAATCTGTGAAAAGTGCCAATGTTAAGAAAGCAGATAGCAGCACCACCAAGAAGAATCAAAACAGTTCCAAAAAAGAAAGCGAGTCTGAGGATAGTTCAGATGATGAACCTTTAATTAAAAAGTTGAAGAAACCCCCTACAGATGAAGAATTAAAGGAAACAATAAAGAAATTACTGGCCAGTGCTAACTTGGAAGAAGTCACAATGAAACAGATTTGCAAAAAGGTCTATGAAAATTATCCTATTTATGATTTAACTGAAAGAAAATATTTCATAAAAACAACTGTAAAAGAGCTAATTTCTTGAGATAGAGGACAGAGAAGATGACTCGTTCCCACAGATTTGAAGATCTGATTTATACCATTATACCAGCAAAGAGAATGTATTTCCTTTTCTAAATCCTTGTTAAGCAACGTTAGAACTTACTGCTGACCTTTTTATCTTGAGTCTTATGTGAATTTGAGTTTGCTATTTTAAATTGAATTTCTATGCCATTTTTAGTTTAAAATCTTACATGGCATTAACTGTTCCTTGCTTTTATAGTTGTATTTTGTACATTTTGGGTTTCTTTATATAAGGTCATAGATTCTTGAACTGTTGTGGTTTTAGTGCACTTAATATTAGCTTGCTTAAGGCACACTTTTAATCAAGTAGAACAAAAACTATTATGACTGGGATTTATACACACAGAGATTGCAGTATTTAGTATATGAAATATTTTGAATACACATCTCTGTCAGTGTGAAAATTCAGTGGCAGTGTGTCCATCATATTAAAAATATACAAGCTACAGTTGTCCAGATGACTGAATTGGAACTTTCCTCCTGCATGTGTATATATGTCAGACTGTCAGCATGACAAAAGTGACAGATGTTATTTTTGTATTTTTAAAAAACAATTTGTTGTATACAAAGTTTTTAAATTTCTTTTGTGCAGACCGCTTTTTAAACTCACGTAGGTAGGTATCTTTACAGGTGTAGACTATGGAATGTCAGTGTTCAGCCAGACAGTATGATGGAGTAGTGAAAGTCAATTCAGTGATGGAACATGAAGGAACAGTTATCCTGCTTTGTCTCGAAAGTGTCATCAATTTGTAATTTTAGTATTAACTCTGTAAAAGTGTCTGTAAGTACGTTTTATATTAAGGACAGACCAAAAATCAACATATCAAAGCTTCAAAAACTTTGGGAAAGGGTGGGATTAAGTACAAGCACATTTGGCCTATAGTAAATGAATCAATTTTTATTAACTGCTTTTGTCCATATAAAATGCTGATATTTACCGGAAACCTAGACACCTTCATGATTACGATTAAAGTACCAGATTATAATGCCAGAATATAATGTGCAAGCAATCGTGGATATCTCTGACAAAGTGTATCTCAAAAATAATATACTTTTACATTAAAGAAATTTGATGTTTCTCTGGAGTTGGGACTCTGGCTTTTAAAGTTTGGCTAATCAGTGTTGATTCTAGATGATCAACATAATGGACCACTCCTGAATGAGACTAATTTTGTCTTTCAAATTTACTGTCTTAAATCAGTTTATTAAATCTGAATTTTAAAACATGCTGCTTATGACAGAATGACACATTTGATGTACCAATTAAGGGTTGAAAAATATCTTTGCATCATGGAACAGAAATATATATGTTGAATGTTAACAGGTATTTTCACAGGTTTGACTTGTTTGATAGTTACTCAGACACTAGGGAAAGGTAAATAGAAGTGAACAAAATAAGCAACTAAATGAGACCTAATAATTCGTCTTCGATTTTAAATATTTAATTCATTCTTATAAACCTTGTCAATAAAATTAATCTAAATTTTAAAAAAAGTTATCCATTTAACTGAATAGCAATATATCAATACACTATATAGCACCAATACTACTAGAGAGACTTCCTCAATGAATTAAGGCACATCTCAGGCTACAAAAATGACAGTTTAACGTCTGAGCTGATTCCTTGAATCCCTAGAGGTTTTTTTTTTTCCCAAAACAATTCAAAGGCCATGCTTGTTAAGCAAAATTTTGTCAGTCAAAATGTTGCATGTGATGAAATTTGTTTACATAACTGTTCCAAAACCTTTCTGAATTTTTGTTAAAAAAATCTGGCTTTGCCAGGTGGGGTGGTGTGTGCCTATAGTCTCAGCTACTACGGCAGGAGGGTCACTTGAGCCCAGGGGTTTGAAGCTGTAGTGTGCTATGATCTCACCTGTGAATAGCCACTGCACTCCAGCCTAAGCAACATAGTGAGATCCCCATCTCTTAAAAAAAAACCGGCCTAAAAAAAGGAAAAAAACCCCAAGGAATAAAGGTCCTCCAATTTGAAAGGAACAACAAACCGAAGTAACCAAAAAGAATCCGCAAACCGGGGAAAAAAGGTGCCAACAAACCCCCCTGGCAAAAAAAAAAAATATCCTAAGCATTCTTCTTTTCTATCTTCCTACTCTTCCCTGGGCTAACTTCTCCCAATAATCCAGTTATTTGATCCCAGGTCTATTATTCTTCACTCATCTTTTTGGAAATCACAATTCTATTTCAGTAATAATCCATTTCAAAGTACTGAAGTCAAATGTCAAGCTAAAGTAACTCACAGTAAAGTTTAAGTTATAAGTTTCTCCTACCACAAGGGGTATCTGCATTTAAGAGTTTATTAACCCATAAGAACAGTGAGCAGATTGTGAGCAGAGAAACCCTTTGTACTTTGGGCTACAAGAACTGGGAACTCTAAAAAGTATTAATAACTAGAGGTAGCTGTTAAGGAATAAAGGAATTCAGTTAACCAGACTGATGAACAAGCAGTTCTTATAGAAAGAAGACAGGCAACTATATAATTTCTCTATTAAAGTAGCAAGAATTTCCATTTTGACTGGAAGAGGCAAAACAAGGCATGATGGCTTTTATGTTTCTCATGGTATCCCAACATGAAATAATAATTCATACATACTTGTGGGTGATTTGTTTGGGAGTGGGCAGATGGGATGTAATTAATGGCAGTAAACTAGTGAAAAAATGGGGTAGATCTATATTACTAAGAAGGATATTTAAAAAGAACAAGTAACAATGTTAAATATGAGCCCATTTACATTTAAAAGACAAATACAAAGAAAATGATACAGAAAGATACTCACCAATACTTAATAGTTTGTTACTTTGAAGTGCATGAGAACCAATACTTGTTACTTCGAAGTGCATAAGATTGAAGAGGATGAGTGGGGACTTTCTTATTCTACGTTTCCAGACTTAATTTTATTTTGTTTTTAATGTAAGTATGTACTTCTATTTAGATAGAGCAAATGAGCTGAGTGAAGATGGCTCGATTTCAGCTGAATACACTTAAGAAACTGAAGATAACTATGTAGAATGCAGAATTAAGTCAACACAGAAGGTGAAAGATACCAAAGTGAATATTAGACATTTATTTCTATGAAAGTTTGTTCTAAAATATTTTTAGAAGGTTCGTTAATAATGGTCACGCCTATAATAAAGTCATTTTTATTTATTTATTTTTGAGATGGAGTCTTGCTCTGTCGCCCAGGCTGGAGTGCAGTGGTAAAATCTCGGCTCACACAACCTCTGCCTCCTGGGCTCAAGCGATTCTTCTACCTCAGCCTCCCGAGTAGCTGGAATTACAGGCATGCACCACCACACCCAGCTAATTTGGGTATTTTTAGTAGATACAGGGTTTCACCATATTGGCCGGGCTGGTCTCAAACTCCTGACCTCAAGTGATCCACCTGCCTCGACCGCCCAAAGTGCTGGGATTACAGGCATGAGCCACCACACCCGGCCTCATTTTTAAAAACTCGGTCCTGATGCCAATCTTAGGAGGGTGAACTGAGATAAAGCAACAAAGTTTTAGGGAAAGTAAAGCATCACAGAATCAAAGCACCTGGTTTTTCAATATAAACACACACCCCCACTCTATAAATTCCCAAATCAGACATATATATGTACTATCCTGTACATGCAAATACCCAAGTGCTGGTAAGCATTAGCTCTGTATAAATGTATGGATATTTGTAGGTTGTACACACTCAAAAGGTCTGACATTTTTGTATTCTCATGGTTCCCAATGGGTAATGTTCCCCCTAAATTAGCTAAATAATCTCACTGTAAGATACACAAGACATTTAAAATGGAACTGTATAACTGCAGGAACTAAGTGGTGGGTACATGAATGTTTACTACATGAGTCTTCAAACTTCTCTCTGTATGAAAAATTTCAGAATACAATGTTGGGGAAAAACTGAACTGGAAGTTTAAAGATCCCTGGTAAAGATCCAAATTTCATCTCAAGCAATGCTATGTACAACTGCTTAGATACAAAAGCTAACACTCCTCTTCCTCAAACAATTCAGATTATGTCACACCTTTGCCTAAAAACTTTCCATTAGTGTTTCGGGTCAAGTGTGCTGGTGTCTGAAATTTACTTTAAAATACATCAAAAAAGAAAGATGGACAGATGAATGGATCGAGGAATAGATATGTTATAAGAATACTAAGATGTTAACAGCAGATTCTAGGTGGTGGGTAAGTATATGGATGCTCACCGTAAAATTCTGTTAACTTTTCTGTATGTTTGAACATCATAATAAAATGTTGGGAAAAAGTTTCAAATGACTATTCTGTACAATGAAAAGACAAATTATTTGGCATGGCTTGCTCTACCTCTTACTATGTAACTGTAGCCTATCTTTCCAGCATCACCCTCCTCACATCCAACTACTTAAGTGCCAAAGGGTCTCTTGCTTCTATGCCTCTGTATATAGTGTTTCCTCTGAATACACTGCTCTTCATATTTGACGGACTCTTTTATATTCCACTTAAATGTCATTACCACCATGAAGCTTTCTAAACTCCCTCAAGCAGAAAGAAGGGGTTTTTCCTTTGTGCTTTTAGCACAGTTTTTATTATTATAAAACTTACCACGTTGCTGTAATTAACCCTTTGCAGTTCTGTCTTCATTGCCCCTTAAGCTCTTGGAGGGCAAGGATTTCACTGTATTCATTTTGGTGTCCCCAAAGCTCAGAAAAGAGATAATTAATGTACCTCATTCGTACTTATCTTCTAAGTTATCTCCTACTCAGTCTTCTTTATTCCTAATGCTACTTCTCCTTAGCTCAGATATTCCCCCTCAATTACCATAACAGCATCCTAACAGTTCTCCTGGTCTCTAGTCTTGTCTTGCCATCATTAAAATTTTGTCTAAATTGTGTTCCATGTTGTGAAATAAGACATATAAAACTCAAACACTATGTAGTCTATATTTCACTAATAAAATAATCAGGATAAAGGTTTTTCTTTTATAAACTTTTTGGAGGAGAAACTGTATGCTGAAAAACAATTTATCTGCTGAGTATTCTCAACTAACAATCAAGTACTTTACCAGGCAGTAGTAGACACTGTCACTTCCCTCAAGAAACTTTCAGATAATGAAAGAAATACATATGAAGACAAACACAATATAATAAATACTACAATTACTTGGGAGCTGCTAGGGGAGAACAAAGTGAGAAAATGACTCCAGGGGCATTGGGAAAGTTTCAAACACAAAGACACAAAGTATGAAAGGCAGAATACCTGGAAGCATGGCATAATAAGGATGGAAGAAAATAAAGCTGCTTTGGGACCTTTCAGGATGCTGAATGCCTAGCTTCAAAGTTTGAACCTTATCCTTTTTAGTCACTGAGAAGCCATTTAGGGTTTGGGGTGGGTTTTTTCCTATCACAGAGAAATGACAATCAGATCTGTTTAGAGGGCTAACAACACTGAGATTTACTGACTAGAGAGGAAAATGCTAGTAACAGAGAAACCTGTCATTCAGACTATGCTTTTCATTAATTAGGTTAAAAAATGATTTAATATCCAGGCAAGCCAGAAGCATCATTCAACTTCTTTTATATAAGTCAACATTCACTCATCTTCTTACCTTGTCTTCATAGCCATTATCTGTGACATAAGTTGGAGGTTTTCCAGGAAAGCGATAAAGAATGAAATCCCGACTACATGGGGAAAACAAAGGTTAAGTGGGAAGACATAATTTGACATATGTAAAAGATAGTTATAGAAACAACTATTTCTGCTTTTAAATTGCCTACCTTATTCATATAAAGCAATATAAATATCCGGTTTAATGTTTGGCTTTAAAATAATCCAAAAGGGCTAAATGACGTTAATTCAAAGTAGACGGCTAATTGCCCCTAAAGTCCTATGGATTTTTTTTTCTAATGTATCTTAATTTGGGAGGAGAAGGGGTAAAGACAATGAATTATTAATTGTATGTATGGCTGTGAGTTGGGGGGTGGTGCTCTCCTTTATTTTTTGGCAAAAGGCTAGAAAATAGGCATTTCAGCTTTTGCAGACTATATGGTTTATTCAACTTTGCTTTGGTAGCATGAAAGCAGCACAGACAATGCATAAGTGAATGAGCATGACTGTGTTCCAACAAAGCTTTATAGACACTGAAATCTGAATTTTATATAATTTTTCCATCCCATGAAACATTCTTCTTTTGACTTTTCAACCATTTAAAATATTTTAACACTCTCTCTTAGCTTTCTTCATTCTAGATATCAACACATCAAATCTCAAATTTCCCCAATCCCGAAGAGACCATTAATTGAGATCTTATACACACATGCATGCAAACACCCACTCTCAAAGAAAAGAGAATATAACTTACTTATAAATTAGAGAAAGAGCTCTTATTTCCAGCTGGCCAGCACTTTCCTAAACATAAATAGTGTATAGAGTTTTAAAAAAACATTCTGCAGCTAGGAGGTAGTTTTTTCAAGTTCAACAAATTTTTAGCTGCTTAGCACTATTTTAGATGAAGAATTTGTAGAACACACTATAACCTGTTTTAAGGCTTGGAATACTGTGATAGCTACTTATTAACATAAACTTATCCTGAAGAAAGGATCTAAAGCCCTACTTAGCCATTAAGTAACAAGGACAGTTAATAGGAGAGATTTTAAAAACACAATAAAGATGGAACTAGTATAATAAAAAGGCAGTAGGGATTTAGTAAATGTGTTTTTTAAGTCCAGAACCATGGAATTAACTTTATCATATAAAAATTATTTCTAAATAAAGTATGAATTTATGAATTTTACTCCCACATAAAAGGAAGAAAACTACAAATCAGGGGAATTGTTTAATAACAAAATAATGACCTCTTGGTAAAATTCATTACCACCCTCCTCCTCCATTAAAGTGAAAAGGCTTAAGCTTCTCCTGTTTCCAAGTAGTATATACTCTTTTGCTAGTCTATGGTTGATGGGATTCTTAACACACAATTATCAATATTCGACACAAACCAATAGGTCAATTTTCAGCCTCTAAACTTACGCAAGAACTATTGGATTCAACACAGTTGACTACTAAATAAAATAGTTGGGGTCTGGCTAAAATAATACAGCTGAATGAATAAATTTACATTACTATTCCAAATAACTCTGAAAAGATTAAACCCCCATATTTGATCTTACCTTGGGATCTCCCAACCGTTCCAGGTATTTCTCAAAAGATCCCTCCACATACTTCAAAAATAAAACAAACTCGACTTAACCAAATACACAGCATTACTGAAATCTGATTATATTCTACAATATTATCCTGCAATGGGTTTTTTGCTCAGCTCAACAATTATGGTAGTAAGTTTCTACTTTGCACAGCACCTCAAGAAGATTTGCACATACACAAAAGTCATGAGTGGAGAAAAACTGGAGTATAAAAGTATCTTAGGAATTGGTCCTGGCATATCCACATACCAGTGCATTTCATCAAATGGTATGCTTTTGAGTTTCATTTGAAACGCCAATTTAAGTAATGACAATTTTCATAAATCAAGCAAGACCAGTATTTCTAAGGATTTCAAATTTCACAAGACATGCATTTACAAAATTAAACTGAGGAACTTTAAAGAGAATTTCATTAGTTTCTAAAAAGATCATGGGACAAGGGAACTTTTTAGGGGTGATGGAAACATTCTATATCTTGACTGTAGTGGCAGTTCCATGATTGCATATTATCGCCAAAACTAAAAATGGTAAACTTAAAATGATGAGTTTTATTGTATGTAAAATATGCCTCAATAAAAATGAAATTAAACTCAGGACTGTAATAGATTTATTTCTAGTTCCATGGATACATATCATTAGACTTTTAAAAAATCATTTAAATTTTCCTTTTAAAAAGTTTTGAGATATAAATGACACACAGGCCGGGTACGGTGGCTCACGCCCGTAATTCCAGCACTTTGGGAGGCCAAAGTGGGCAGATCATGAGGTCAGGAGATCAAGACCATCCTGGCTAATACAGTGAAACCCCATCTCTACTAAAAATACAAAAAAAATTAGCCAGGCATGGTGGCGGGCACCTGTAGTCTCAGCTACTTGGGAGGCTGAGGCAGGAGAATGGCATGAACCCAGGAGGCAGAGCTAACAGTGAGCCAAAATCATGCCACTGCACTCCAGCCTGGGTGACAGAGCAAGACTCCATCTCAAATAAATAAGTAAATAAATAAATAAATGACATAAAATAAACTGCCCAACTTAAATAGTACAAATTTTGACTTATGTATACACCCATGAAATCATCATCACAATTGAGATAGTGAATATATCACTTTCATAAGTATCCTTGTGCCCCTCTATAACTCACATATAACCACTGATCTGCTTTCTGTCACTATAGATTGGCTTGTATTTTTTCTAGAGTTTTATATAAGGGAAATCAAACAGTATAAACTTTGCAGGGGATTTGGTTTCTATCACTCAGTACTGAATTGAAATTCATTTATGTAGTTTTAAAATTTTACACACATCTTTGTTACTCAAAATGTTGTCCACAAACCAATAGCAAACATTACTTCAGAGTTTGTTAAAAATGCAGAAATCTCCACTGAGCGCAGTGGCTCACACTTGTAGTCTCAGCACTTTGGGAGGCCAAGACGGGCAGATCACTTGAGCCCAGGAGTCTGAGACCAGTCTGGGCAACATGGCAAAAACCCCATTGCTACTAAAAACACAAAAAACTTAGCCCAGTGAGGTGGTGTGTGCCTGTAGTCCCAAGTTACTTTGGAGGCTGAGATGGAAGGATTGTTTCAGCCTGGTAGAGGATGCAGCAAGCCGTGATCCTGCCACTGCACTCCAGCCTGGGCAACAGAGTAAGACCCTGTCTCAAGGTAAGAAAAAAAAGAAATCTCGGGCCACAACTCAGACCTACTGAATCAAAACCTGTATTTTAACAAGATCTCCAGGTGATTTGTATGCACAGAAACACTTGAGATGCACTGCTTTACACTGTGGTCTTGCATTTGAAGTAATGTCACAAATAATCCTTTCTCCAGGTGTAGAGAAGACTACAATCAACTTCAAGGTAACAAGCTTTTAAGTCAAGAAGTCTTCACATAGTTTTAAAATTCACTGAAACCAGTTGAGAAAATTAAGAGTAAAACTCGAACAGCAGGCAAATACCCACAATAAATAGAAGAAACAAATAGCACTGGAAGGGCCAGAAGTGTTTTAAAACACACACACACACACACACACACACACACACACAAAGGAAGCCTCCAATTTCATTAACAAGAATTCAAATACATGAAGGTGTACAAATGTCTTCTGTAAGTTGTTTTACCTAAAGTTAATCATTAGTGGCAGAGCTCTAATTATACAATTTGTCACATGGAAAGACTAGATACTTAGACTCATTTGTTCCCTTACAACTAAGTTTTACAAGATTCCTCAAATTGACTAGCTGAAGATTACTGTCCACAGGATTAAGCAAGAAAATAGAGGGGGTTCCCATTTGTACATATTTTAAAATATGCACTGCAAAACATTAACAGAGCCAAACCTTTCATGAACTATTATTAATTGTTCAATAAAACTGTATGGATAATATAAAACAGCAATCAAAATGTAACTTTTTGGGGTCTGGAGTTCCTGGTGTAGGACGAGGTAAGTAGTGGGAAAATGTAGATTATTCTTGATTTTTAATTAACCTTGATTTTTAAACAACCTAATTCTAGCAGAGGGTCCAGAAGCACGTTAGCTACTGGGAAGGGAACCAGTTGGGAATTAAATATTTGCTATTGAGGAGACTGCATGATATAGTTTAATTTTGGTAGGTGCTCACAATTACTTTCCCACCTGCTACATAGTCTACCAGCACTCCCCTGGGTATGTATTCTACTTACAGACTCAAAAGTTTGTTGATTTTCCCTCATATATGAGACACAAGCCTTCCTGATTTCCAAATGATGGACCTGGCTGCAAAACAACTAAAAAGAAGAGAAAGACCAGCCCACTGTCAGTAGTCATTTAAAATAGGCACTTCTAAATCAAGACTATGAACTGGACACTTAAGCCTTCCTTATTCAGAACATATGTAGAAAATTGGGAAATTAAATCATCTAAGTTTTTCTTAATATCATCTTCAACGAAATTGGGGAAGGATGACTGTCATGCCCCATCCCCTTTTCTACTCCTTATGTGCACAGCCTATAATTTTTTTCTCAGGTATTAGAGGAAGCAGGGGATGCTTACAAAGGATCAAGATATATTTCAAAGTTGTCTTTAGCCTCATCTTACCCCTCCTACATTACAAACTAGCATTTAAAAAACAGAAAAGATAGCAAAGGTACAGCAATATAGACTATTCAGCAAAGGCATGCGCCAAGCTAATAAGAGCAAGCAGCTTCTCTCTAGGACCTGATAGGCCTGATGTTTTCACTAGAAAGTAGGGGAATTTTTTTGTTTCTTTTGGCAAACTACAGGACCATCCCATGTCTCAAACTCTGAAAACTCAGTACAGGGAAGATATGTTTTCCTTTTACCTGCTCCGAAATAGCCCGAAAGAGGCAAGAGGCATCCTTGGCAGTCAGCTTTCGAAACAGCCCTAAGCTGCCTAAATATTCATCCATTGATGCCTCATTCAAAGACTTCTGGCTGCAGTAGTTTTTCCATCCTTTATGCATTTTGTACAGGGTGGGGGTGAGAGGGAGAGGAAAAAAAGTGTGGCAAGAGGGAAAAAGCAGGGTGCAGGTAGGATGGGTAGCAGTAACAAGGGCTTGCTTATGCAGGTATCCGGAAAGCAGCCCAAAGTCTAGGCCTGAGAAGGCAGTTGAAGTCAGCGCTGCAGAATCTTGGCACTTCCCAGGAGCAGAAGCAATGGACTTGGCTTGCCCAGGACAAGTCAGGACCCTGTGAAAAGAAGAGGAAGAGCCAATCCTCCTAGGAATAGGGAACTCAGACTGAGGAGGAGACGTGGGAGGGAGGGAGAAAGTGCTTAGAGTTACCTCCTTGGGAAAGAGTGGGATTAACCCAATCAGACCAAGGTTGAGAAAAGTATGCATAAGCAGCTGAGCTTTGGGACTAGAAGGAAACTGACTTTGCAGCTTAACTCAGGGCAACTGCTGCACGAGGCTGAAAAGGGACTACAATAAGGCTCAGGTGTGTAGGTTGCAGCCTGGTCAACATTACATTGCTTTAAGATCTCTAGCTGAATATTCAACTAGTCTCTCCCCCAAATTCCCTGCTCCTTTCATAGTTTCAGGGAAACATGGAGGGAGGGAATCTTGATGAACCTAGTTAACCTGTGAGTATTTGCATTAATATCTTTTTAATACACACAAAAAAGGAGAAGGAACTTCCCTTAATCTATAGTGGCAGAGGGCACAGTTCAAGCTAAGTACCAAAGCTATTACCTGGATATTCCAGATATAGGGTTGAAGTAATCTTCTAATTCTAGATAATAATCTCTGCCAGGATCACAGAAACTAAATCTTATTGGCCATGCTAGGGAAACCTTATACAATTCTTGACTAAGGCCTCCAAAGTATTATATGGCACCAATAAAAAAGAAAAATGCAAAAACAAAAGTGTGTTTCTTTAAAAATGGAAATAAAAATTTAAATGGAAGCAGCATGAAAATATCCATAAACTTTCTAATAGACTACATTTGAAATGGTATGGTACAGTATGAGATGAGGTAGACAATGAGAGATGTGTTTCAATGTTTTACTAGCATACTTTTCCAGAAACATAACTCTGGATTCTGAGAAAAACCACAGAAAATAGTAAGTGCCAAAGGCAGGCCCAATTGCTTGTATTATTTGTTCCTATTATCTATGCTATCTAGCGTCTTTTATTTTTATTTAAACGCAAAAATCCAATTCCTTTCTTACATTTTTTAAGTATTAAAAAAATAAATAGGTCAAAAGTTGGCTTTAGAGAAGGCACAACATTAGGCTGCTTTCAAAATTGTTTTTTCTTTTTTTTCTTTTTCTTCTTCTTCTTCTTTTTTTTTTTTTTTGTATCTGTGGATCCAGTAGTAATCATGACTGCTCCCTCTAGGAAAAGGAGCAATATTTTATAATTTAGGAATGAAATAATATTTGACATGGTAAAAAAGTATAAATCTTGACTTCCTTAGCATGCCACTTTGAAATTACCTTAATTTTTTTTTTTTTTTTTTTTTTTTAATGGTCTCACTCTGTCACTCAGGCTGAAGTGCAAATGCAGTGGTGTGAATACAGCTGACTGCAGCCTCAACCTCCTGGGCTCAAACAATCCTCCTACCTCAGCCTCCCAAGTAGCTAAGACCACAGGTGCATACCACCACACCCAGCTAATTTTTGTATTTTCTGTAGAGTTGGGGTCTTGCCACATTGCCCAGCTGGTCTCAAACTCCTGGGTTAAAGCTATCCTCCCACCTCAGCTTCACAATGTGCTGGAATTACAGCCATGAGCCACCATGTCCAGCCACTAATTTCTTTTGTAAAGAAACTGTCACACTGGAGAAGTGATGCCTTTTGCAAAAGTTCTGAAACACACTGTTTGGGAAGAGAGATTGCCATCTTTCGACAAGGTCACTAATTCACTGAGAAAAATTAATTAAGGGTTATAATTTGGCCAGGTGTGATGGCTCACACCTGTGATCCCAGCCCTTTGGGAGGGTGAGGAGGGCAGATCATGAGGTCAGGAGATCGAGACTATCCTGGCTAACATGGTGAAACCCCATCTCTACTAAAAATACAAAAAATTAGTTGGGTGTGGTGGGCACCTATAGTCCCAGCTACTCCGGAGGCTGAGGCAGGAGAATGGCGTGAGCCGAGATCGCGCCACTGCACTCCAGCCTGGGCAACAGAGCGAGACTCCATTTCAAAAAAAAGGATAATTTAAAAGTTAATTTGTTTCCAGCATATTGTACTTGTAGAGAAAAACACAAATGCTTCACACATCTGCTTTTTAAACTAAAAATAAGTATGATATATAAAACAATGCAATCTAAATGCTTCATTTTGAGGAAGGGAATGGGAGAAGGGAAAATGGGAGAGGGAGGGAGAGAATCAGAAAAGTAATAGAAAACTGAAAAAAAGAAAAACATAAGTAGGGACAGGAAGACAAAAGGAGACAGAGCAAAAGAAAAAACACACAGAGAAGCACACAGAAGTAGATCCACAGAAATATGGTCCATCGATTTTTGATAAAGGTGCAAAATCAGTTCAATAGCAAAAAGATAGCATTTTCATCAAGTGGTGCCAGAACAATTGACCATCCACATGCAAAAAAAGATCCTCAACCTATATCTCACATCTTGTACTATAATTAACTCAAAGTGGCATAAATGTAAAATAAAACTTCAAAAATTTTAAAATAAAATATAGGAGAAAATCTTTAAGATCCTGAATTAGGTAGTGAGTTCTCAGATACATAACAGGGAAAAAAAAATTAACTCGATTTTATCAAAATTTAAAACTTTGGCTCTGCAAATGACATTGTTAGAATTGAAAACACAAGCCAAAACGGGGAGAAAATATTTTTACATCACATATCTAACCAGAAAAACTTTGTACTAAAATATGTAAAGAACTCTGAAAAGTCAACAATAAAAAAAATCCAATTTCTTAAATAGACAAAAGATTTGAATACACATTTCACCAAAGATACAAGAATGGCTAATGAGCACATAAAAAGATATTTGAAATCATCGATCGTTAGGAAAATGGAAATTAGAATCACAGTAAGACATCATTACATACCCACCAGGATAGCTATAATAAATAATACAAACAATAGCATTAACAAGGATTGGAGAAACTGGTCCTAAGAAGATGGAAGCAAAAACTGTATGATTCCAAAAGGAATATGATTCCATTTATAAGAAATATGCCAAAAGGGTAAATCTAGAGACAGAAAGCAGATGAAGTAGTTGCCCGGGGATGGAGTGAAAATAGGCACTGACTACAAATAAGCACAAATAATCTTTCTGGAATAACAAAAATCTACTAAAACTATTTTGTGGTGATATGTGTACAATTCTGTATACTCACTAAAAATTAAATTGTACTCTTAAAACTGGTAAATTTAACGGCTTTCAGGTATGTCACATACCATATAATTCACTCACCTAAAGCATACAATTCGATGGTTTGTTGTATAGAGTTGTGCATCCATCACCATAATCAACTTTAGAGCACTGTCTTTATCCCAAAATGAAACTCTGCATCCTGTAGCTGTCAACCTCTAATCCCTCTATCCCCACCAACCCCAGACAATCACTAATCTACTTCCAGAATCTATAGATTTCCCTATTCTGAACATTTCAAATAAATGGGATCATAAAATATGTGGTCTTATGTGACTCGCTTCTTTTACTTAGCATAAGGTTTTCAAAGTCCACCCATGTTGTAGCATGGTACATCACTACATAGTTCAATCCACTGTATAAAACAAAATTTGTTCATCCATTCATTAGTTGATAGAAATTTTGGTTGTTTCCACTTTTGGGCTACTATGAATAGTATTTCCATAAATATTCACATGCAAGTTTTTGTTTTGACTTATGTTTTCAATTATTTTAGGCATAATACTGGAGTTACTGGATCATATGGTAACTCACTTAACCTAATGTTAGGAACTGTCAAACTTTTTCAGAGCAACTGCACCATTTTACATTCTTACCAATAGTGTATGAGGGTTCAATTTTTCTCTAGATCCTTATCAACACTTGTTATTTTCCATCTTTTGATTATAGTCAACCTGGTGGGTGTGAAGTAGTATCTCACTGTGGTTTTGATTTGCATTTCCCCAGTGGCTAATGATATTGAGCATCTTTTCATCTGCTTATTGACCATTTGTATATCTTTAATGAGATACCACTACATACATCTTAGAATAACTAAAATAATTTTTTTAACTGACAATACCAAGTGTTGAAAAGGATATAGAACAACTGGAACTCTCTCATATGTTGCTAGTGGGAATGTAAAATAGTACAACCACTGTGGAAAACAGTTTAGCAGTTTCTTATAAAATTGAACAGAGTTACCATATGATCCAGCAATCCCACTTCTAGGTATCTACATAAGAGAAATGGTAACACAAAAACCTCTATGTGAATGTTCATAGTAGCTTTATCCATAATCATGAACTCTCAAAACTGGAAACAATCTAAACATTTCTTAGCTGGTGAATGGACAAAAACTGTGGTACATTCAAACAAAAGAATACTTCCTAGGAATAGGAAATAATGAAATAATGATACATAAAAGAACATGTATCTCAAATGTAACATGTGAACCGAAAAAAGACAATATTCAAAAGGCTACACACTGTATGCCTGCATTTATATGACATATTGAAAAAGGCCAAAGGATAGGAAGGGAAAACAGATTAGTTTTTGTCAGTAGTTGGGGTTGAAGAGCTGATTACAAAGAGAAAGGATAAATGGGGGCACTGGAATTGTTCTGCATCTCGACTGTGGCAGTGGTTACATGATTATGTCTTTGTCAAAATTATAGAACTATATAACAGGCTAATTTTACTGTATTTAAATTTAACAGTTAAGTAAAACAAAAAAGCAGAAGAAATAGAGTTGAGGAGCTCACAGAATAGTCAACGATATTGGAAAAAAAAAATAAGAAAATTAGATTATCAATCTAGGAAAGCCAACATCTAACCAACAGGAAGCCCAAAATGAGATGAAGCAGAGGGAAAGAAATGATAATGATGATGATGATAATATAAAAAAATTCTAGCATTGTAGAACATGAGTATCCATATTGAAATTGAAAGGGCTCATGAAGTAGTCACAACAATGAAAGCAAAAAAGATCATCATCCCTGGACATAATAATAAAGTTTCTGAAGTCAGGGGAAAAACAGAAGATCCTAAAGCTTTCAGAGAAGAAAAACAGTTTA